AACAAGGATAATGGGAAGCACGTGGGTGTTCACATCCGCAGAGCGATCCCTCAGCGAAGGCCCTCTTCTCCCCCTCTCTCCTGCTTGGTAAATGCTCATTCATCTTTTTTGACTCAGGCTCAAAGACCCATCCTCCACAGATGTCATTCCCAGTCTCCACAGGCTCCCTCCTTCCTTTGTGCATTGCCCCACTCTACCTGTTGTCACCAGGTAACGTCTTGCTCAGGAAGCCATCCTCAAAGGCAGAAATTGCAGTTTTACTTTCACTTCCCTGGTGCCAAGCACAGTGCCTGGCACAAAGGAAACACAAGTATATTCTTGTCCACAATGAAAATAATACCCATTGCACCCTAGGAATCAGGGAAAAGATAAATGAAGTTGCCTGTATCTTAGAGAAGAGTGCGAGTACCATCGTTTAATTTCTTCTCTACTGCCTAATCTCCTTCCTTCTTCACTCAACACTGTTTTACTGATGCATAATCACTACATTAGCATTTTTAGTGTTTCTTTAAAAATGACTAGGTAGAGCTGCCTCATCCCAGGAAAGAAAAAGTACTTAACCCTTGCTGCTGAGTTAGCACTTCTTAACTAGATCATGCAACACCTCGGGAATCTGGAACTACGTTCCCTTCCCCCTCTTTTCAAAATGTAAAGTGTTCACCCAAAGCGGCGGTTGTGTGGGAAATTACTGCGATGCAGTGAGAGACTTCAAGTGCACTCCCAGAGGTCACAAAACAGAAAGCTTCACAGACAGACCAAATACTAATGCTTGAATCATTTCGCTTATTAAATCAATTAAACATATCCAGGAAGAAGTAAGGGAAAGAGGTGGAGTAGGCTGATACACTTAGAAAAGGGTACACGTGGGGTGGGGGGAGGATAGGAGACCCCACTGGATTCCTGGCTTGTCCACTGGTCATATCTTCAAATTTCCTCTCTGCCCTATCAGCTTTGTTGCTGATGCTGTGGTTACATGGATTGGAGCTGAGGTTATAAAAAAAGGGGTACAGTACAGATAGAAATGTATTGCCTAAATTAAAAAAAAAATCTCTTCTCACCCACCTAAGACCATGATACATCCCAGAAAAGCATTTTGGATCACTAGTTCCTAAGCTGCAACTGACTGGGTCAGCTTACAGTATCTGTTTTGGGGGGGATAAAAGGAAAAAATGGGTTCAGTGGATGGGAGGTGCCTGGAGCCAACATGCTTTATCTATTGGAGAGAAGCAGGGACAAGCACATCTGTCTACAGCTGTAGTTCACCTGTTAATTTGGTGATCAGCAGTGGGTTTTATTTAGCATTTCTCAGAGTATACGTGGGGCCACAGTGGGAATGGAATGAGTGTCAAAGATGGGTGTCAGATTTAGGGATGACATAGCTATCACTCTGAAGGTGTCATGATTTGTACATAATGACTTGGTCCTCCCACCCTTTCTATTTATAAGTCATACTCTTACTCAATCCTTTTTTAATGTGTGTTCAACACACTTATGTTTCATTTATTCCATCTATGTTTAACACGTTTCACAGGTTGCTAACTTGCTATCTATATTTAACATGTCCTATGAGCTTTATCCATCCCACTTGTTTTTCTTTAGCAGAATTGAATATTCTGAAATACAGCAAACATACATTATAGTGGTTGAATATGGAAGTATGATATTCACTGTAGGTTCTCAATTGGTTTTCATCGGTTGCTCTTTTAACTCCAGGATAAAAGCAGGCTACTGCAAAGTAGGTGACATCTCACTATATTCAGTAATTGACAGCTTTACATTTATGGTGATCTGGAAAATCAGTAGAGGAGAAAAATGATAAAAAATCTGGGTGTTTAAATAGCCTCAATACCCTATTTTGCTATGATGGGTTAAACAAAATGGTGAGACTAGGAAAGAACCCGGAGATTGTGCAGTTCAGTCCTCGGTTTTCAGATGTGGAGGGTGAGGCTCAGAGGGGTAAAGCATCTTATGCTAGGGGCACAGTGAGGTGTCTGCTAAACTCAGAGCAGTCATTAGTCCCTTGAAACCTGGTCCAGTTTGCTCACCTTTGTACTGTAAGAAGTGGGAATATTTCCGTGTTTTTTTTAGTGGCTGAATTATGGTAAACATTTACTCAAAAGAGCTTTTCTGAGAATGAAAATGTACATAAAGTCTCAATGTATCAAAATAGATTTTTTTACATTTCACTCTGGTGAGCGCTAATGGGGTCTTTACTTCAACGTGCCAGTCGCTCTCACAGAGAAGTGGGAAAAGCTGGCTGAAGAAATGTTCCCATGGGTGAGCAGGTGTGGTGGGATGTATTAGACCTGTAGGTGGGGTGTCCTACAAAGAGGAGGGGCTGAATTGATGCTGACCCTCCTTTTCTTTAATTCCATGGCTGCTGGCACTTGAGAAGTACCCATTGATTCCCTAGTTTTCCAAACGACATTCCTATATTCTAATATGTGTGCTTCCTTGAAGTAACACTGTAAATGACAAAAATAAGTGGAAAATACATTAATTCAATATGTTTTTATTGGCTGCCTGTTTTCTGCCAGGCACTAAGAACTATAGATAGAACAGTGAATAAATAAATATGTCCACCCTCATGGAGCTTATAGTCTCGTGGCAAAAGAAGGGAAGCTCTGACTGGTTTGGCTCAGTGGATAGAGCGTTGGTCTGCGGACTGAAGGGTCCCGGGTTCGATTCCGGTCAAGGGCATGTACCTTGGTTGCGGGCACATTCCCAGTGGGGGGTGTGCAGGAGGAAGCTGATCGATGTTTCTCTCTCATCGATGTTTCTGACTCTCTATTCCTCTCTCTTCCTCTCTGTAAAAATTCAATAAAATATATATTAAAAAAAAAGAAGGGAAATTAGGTAAGGAATATGAAATAAGATTATGATATAAGGGAATAATAAATGGATCACAATATATATGTTATGAAAGGTGAGATGGAGAGAATAACCAGAGTGGTGTGTTAGACATTCGCGGAGAGCCTGTTTTGGAGGAACGGCCCGGGAGGTTGCATTTGCAGCCAGAGCTGAAGGCGGAGGGGCCAGGCATGTGAACATGAACAGTGGGAGAAGAGCACTGTGGGTAGAGAGAGAGGACAAAGATGCTGAGGCAGGAGTGGGCTTGGGGAGCTCCTCTTGCAACCGAGAAGAGTGTGATGCTGTGGGGAGAGGTGGGTAAGAGTCAATTTCTATGTTACCTTGCAGGCCATGCTAAAGAGCCTGGATTTTACCCTGGGAGCAGTGGGAAGCTGTTAGAAGGTTTCAAGCAGGAAACGGAAATGATTCTGACTTATGCTTTTAAAGAGCTCTTTGGCTGCTGTGTGGAGAGTGGAGAAGAGAAGGTATTCTGGAAGCACACCTTCTCCTTATCTCAGCCCTTGACCAAAGCTGACAGCAGGTCACCTACCAGTACAGTAGTGAAGGCCTTCTTTTGGGCAGAAAAGCAGATGTCCAACTAGGGTTATGCTGGTAGAGTGATCTCCCTGGGTTGGGAGAACCAACCTTCATGCCATTCCTAGCCTGACTTTTGCAGATGGTAGACCATGGTGTTCTTTTCTGTGCTGCAAATTTAAACCAGCTGCTCATGGGATTATGGAAGGTTAGGTTCAGGAGGCCTTGACAAATGACCTAGTCCAGTGGTCGGCAAACTGTGGCTCGCAAGCCACATGCGGCTCTTTGGCCCCTTGAGTGTGGCTCTTCCACAAAATACCACGTGCGGGCGTGCACGTACAGTGCGATTGAAACTTCGTGGCCCATGCGCAGAAGTCGGTATTTTGTGGAAGAGCCACACGCAAGGGGCCAAAGAGCCGCATGTGGCTCGCGAGCCACAGTTTGCCAACCACGAGTCCATACCCTCATTTTGCAGATGAAGGGACTGAGGCCAAACTAAGGTCAAGAATTCAAGGATTTCTTTTTGTCAGAAGCCACTCTTTAGCTGAGGTGCTTTCAGGTCTGCACACAGGTCTGGGGTGTTGGTGGGCAGCGCAGCGGTGTAGCCTTTGTGTTCTGTGTTTTCAAAGGCTCCTCCTGCAGCCCCCGAGTAATAATCGGGTAGTTACACAGTCAGAGGACGCGGTCTGGGAACCACGAGTCCCACTAAACCCCTTTGCTGTTCATTTGTCATTCTTTGAAGAGTTTTCTCCAGCTCAGCTCCCTTGGTGCCACTTTCTGATGCCAGGCAGCGTAGTGTAAAATGAGGAGATAATACCCGGTTTATCATGACAAGGGGGAGTCCGCGTACGAAATGATGAATGTCTCTCATACGCGGATGTTGCAGCGAGAGAGATTCCTGTCCGGGCTCTCGCACCTCTAGGCCTGGACTTGAATAAATATTTCATGAGGAAAGTCACCCACTGCATATGTGCAGAGAAATTCCAGGCACGTGTATGGATCACGAGCATGCCTTGTATTTATTCTCTAGGCAAAGCGGAGTTGTCTGGTATTATTAGCGCTAGTAAATCTTGGTGGGGTACAAAGCAAGGACGGGTTTCCCTAGGTGCATTGTGGAGAGAAGGTCACAGAGCCCATGGGAAAAGTGGACTTGGAGTCTGCGGAGTGGCGTTTGGATCCTGCTAGACTCGGGATTCTCTGAAGTTAGGGCCCCATTTATTTGCCTGCCTCTCACTTTATTTACAGCAACTTAATCTGTTTGCAGCAGGCCAACTTGCTCAGTGTCCTGTCAAAATTCCCATCAGAACACCCCTGGCCAATTGTGAACGTGTCAAAGTGACAAGTGGGCACGGTGGCCGGGATGGCATTTCTGGGTTTTGCATCGAATGAGCGAGCTGTATGGAGTGGTGGCTGGCGTCTGAAAATGAAAAGTATTGACAAGAGGGGGAAATGAAAAATGCAACCTGGATCCTTTGGACACGGCATTTTTAACTGTGCATCTTCTCTCCTCTTCCTTCTCATGTTCTCTCTCCTCTTTTTTCTTCTGCATTTTTTCTTTCCTTCTTCCCCCCACCCCCACACTCCTGTTTCTCCTGCTCTTCTTTCTTTACTCCTAGACACACACAGAGAGATCCATGCAGCCCCTCACGTGAGTGAGAAATTAATTCAGCTGTTCCGAAACAAGAGTGACTTCACCTTTGTGGCCACTGTACAGCAAAAGCCGTCAACGTCAGGAGTGATCCTGTCCATTCGGGAACTGGAGCACAGGTAAGAAAGCTCAATCTTAGAAACCTGGGTAGGAGGAATGCACTTGCACAGAACGCCCGGGGATTTAGAGGTGGTAGCTCCGAGAGAACATGCAGCTGGCTGAGGCCTTGCTTCTGTTGAACACATCAGTACATTTACTTTGCATTAAGAATTTACTGTGGGCCAAGCGGCTTTCTTGTTTGCTCTCCAAGGACCGCTCACGGATATCTTTCTGAGCGACCTCTAGCTTCTGGTGGACCTTGCTCACATGAAACCACATTCTATCCATCATATTTAGATCATCACGCAAGCTAATGAGTAATATTTAACAGTAACGTTTAATAAGTGTGTATTGTGCAGAACTGTGCTTGACACTGGGAATATTAAGGTGAATAATAGGGAATTTTTATTCTAAGGATCACCTAAGTTAATGGGGAAGAGGGACAAATAAATATCACAGAGTATTATAGATGCAATGCTAATACGCTGTGTTTAGGAAATAAAGGCAATAGTGGTTAATCTCAGAATGGGTTGTGGTAAACTACAAAAGGCTTCAGGAAGGGTGATGGTTGTGTAAGGACAAAAGTGAGTAGATATTTGACAGGCTGAATGGGAAGGAGTAAGGGATCAGAAGAACAGCATCCCAGAAAGAGGTTGCCATGATTTTGAGACGGAACAGGTAGGTTGGTAAAAATAGTAACTAACGTTATTTTGAGCACTGATCAATGCCAACCATTGTTCTAAACATTTACACTAGAATATTAAACACTTAAAATATTTTAACTCATTAATATGTGAGATACTGTAGGGTTTTTTTTGGGGGGGGAGGATGTGAGTGAGTTCAAGGATTTTTGAAATTTTTAATGCTTGGACTGGTTTAAATATATAGGTAATACCTCGTTTATAAATGTTTCTGATAGAATTAGCATGACTATATTATAGGCTGATAATTTGATTTTGGGGAGGCTGGGAAATCTATTATTGGAAATGTTCATTTTCTATTTCTTTCATGTTATTCTATTTAATTTTAAACTTTTCTTTGGATAAACTTAAATTTTGTTAATCATATTTTATTAGGTTTGCATTTTTTGGAGCAAAGAGTTGGACATTATATTTTATGTAATAACATTTTATACTTGTGGTGATATCTTTTTAAATCTGTAATCTAAAATATATGTATTTCCTTCTTTTCTTGGCTGGGCTCATCATGGGATTGTGTAATCTATTGGTGTTTTTTAAATGAAACAGTTCTCAGTTTTGTTGATCAAGGCTACTGCTTTTCATTTTAAGTTCATTGATTTCTGCTTATTTCCTTTTCAATCATCTTAGTGATTTTACTAGCTTCTTGAATGTTCGTTTATTTTCATTATTTTCTGTTTACTGAGTGCTTTTTCTTGTGAGTATTACTTTGAATTCAGCACATTAATATCACTATATAATGTTTTCATTTTCTGTACCTTTCTATAGTTTTAAATTTCAATTTGACATCCTCTTTGATCCAAGTTAGGGGAATGTTTAAAAATTTCAAAGTGATTAAAATAAATATTTATTGTATGACCTGGTTTTATTTACAGACATCAAAATGTGCTTTAAGACTCCTAGACTTTTTATTTTGCTGACAATTTTTTTCTGAAATTGGGTTTTTGCTGAAATGGTGGCTGTGTACCATGCTCAATATTTTAATTTTGGGGGCACATTTTCAAAGAATGGGTAGCTATTGAGTATATAGATACATACAGATACAACTTTGTATGCAGTACTGTTCAGTTATCTGGCTCCTATGCGTTTTTAGTTTTACTTGAATGATGACATTCTGAGAGAGGTTGATTAATAACTTTCACTGTGATGAGAATTTTGTCATTCCCCTTGGGTAGGTTTGAGAGCCAGCAGGACTAGATATGCCATGCATTACTTGTACCCCATTTCATTAACCAGTCCTGGGAAATTGGGTCTAGCGGTGGATGAAGGCTGAGAGAACATGGATATTGGAATAACTAGGCAGTTTCTGTCTTGATTGTTTGGGATGTTTCCTCTCTGTTTAGGGCTGCCCAGAAATTCATGGCTAGTGTCATGGTGTATGTTGTCCCAGGCACAGAGGTTGCCCTGGATGTACTACATGTAGAGGTTGCACAGGACAGAGAAAAGGGCAGAGGTGTTGGTATCTGGAGGCTGAAATAAATAATACCTGGAGATTTTTGTAAGTATTAGAAATATTTGTAAAACACCTGGCACAGAATGGGAACCTAATGAAAAAGCCTTTTAAGTTTAAATTGATATTAAAAAAGCCTTGGTGGCAGTGGCCGTGATGGTGGTTCTGGCCATGTTGGTGGCAGTGTTGGTGGTGATGTTGGAATTTGATGCTGAAGGAAAACAGGATACTGAGAAGTGGCCAGATAAGCAGCCGTCACTCCTCTCTAGTTCCATGGTTAGAGGGAAATGAATATCTCCCAGGTTTTATGGTTGTATTCAGTTTCCAGTCCAAGTTCCCCTCTGCTGATAAACTTGCGGAATGGCACTCCGGGAGCTGAATGCTCGCCTTGGCCTTCATGTGCACCACAGGAAGTCATCATCCAACTGCCTTTCCCACAGCTGCCATCCAGAAAAATGACATTGACTGTTTTGGAAATCACTGTTTCCAATTTCTGCCAGGCTTCTGGCTATTCTCAGACGAGGCCATTATTGAATTAATTATGCGTATGTTACTTCGTTTCATGTTGTCCCGAAGCTCCCTTAGGCTCTCCTCCTGTTTTTTAATTTTTTTCTCCAGTTGCTGTTCAGTGATGTTGGAATTTGATGCTGAAGGAAAACAGGATACTGAGAAGTGGCCAGATAAGCAGCCGTCACTCCTCTCTAGTTCCTTGGTTAGAGGGAAATGAATATCTCCCAGGTTTTATGGTTGTATTCAGTTTCCAGTCCAAGTTCCCCTCTGCTGATAAACTTGCGGAATGGCACTCTGGGAGCTGAATGCTCGCCTTGGCCTTCATGTGCACCACAGGAAGTCATCATCCAACTGCCTTTCCCACAGCTGCCATCCAGAAAAATGACATTGACTGTTTTGGAAATCACTGTTTCCAATTTCTGCCAGGCTTCTGGCTATTCTCAGACGAGGCCATTATTGAATTAATGGCAGGAGAGTTCATTCAGTGGCTGAGTTCCCTTCCAGGCAAAGGCAGGCATCTCTCTCACCTGACGGAGATGCAGCAGCCAGAGGTGGGTGGTTTGAGAGGCTGTGATTCCTTAAACCACAGTGAACTTTTTGGCACAGCTCTACCTGCAAAATTCCTAGTAACTGAGCCAATCGGGTTCCCATGGATATCTTAAGTGAATAGATAAAATGAAATGGAAAACTTAAGTATAAAGATGATTGAAAAATGTACCTAGGAATAGCAATTGAAATAGACTTTTTTAAATAATGGAATGGTCACTCTTAATCTATATTTCTAATTTGATGGATTTTTTTTTACAGTACCAATAGAGCACATTGGAAGAGCAACAAAGATGAACCTGTCTTGCTGAACTATCTTAATGACATTGCAGATTTAATGTCTATATTTTGTAACTCAAGTGTGTTAATATAGGGCTTTGTTAAAATGCAAAGCTTAATTAACATAGATTAAATATAATGGAATGTCCTGCTAGTATACGCAAACTCTAAAAGATATGATGGTAAATTTTCTGTTTTTTAATTTTATTCCTAAATGATAGATAAAATGAAATCTAAGCATAATTAATAGGAAGCTGAAATCTAGGGGTCTAAGAAAAAACCTTCTGTTTCACAGATCTGTGAGAAGATGAAGAGGACATTTTGGGCTTCCTAAGAGGGCATCTCTTTTACTTAAACAAAATTTTGTATTTCAAAAGATATTCTTCAGTTTTCTGAGTTCTTGTGGTAGGAAGAACTTCCCTCTTAGATGCCAGATAGACCTGGGTTCAGTTTGTGGCTTTATCAGTCACCAGAGTGTAAGCTTTTGCAACTGCTCTTAATTTACCTCACCTCAGTGTAACCTTCAGGTGACATGAAGGTATTGGTTTACAGGATCTTGGAGTAATTGAGAGGAGTCAACAAGAGCAAGGATGTGAACGGGTCCTCACACCCTATGTATTAGGCACTCAACACATGGGAGGAGTCAACAAGAGCAAGGATGGGTCCTCACACCCTATGTATTAGGCACTCAACACATGCCATGTCCCTTCTCCTCGTGGCTTCTTTCAGTATTTCTTAATTTCTCCCCCAATTCTTCAGTAGGGAAAAGTGGTTCTTCTCACCACTTGGCATGGAGATTAGGTTTTTCATATCACGAGTTTGTTATAGTTAATAAGCAAAAAGGGCTGTCTGTAATGGAATGCATTCAGTAAACAGCAGGTTTACCTTTCTAATTATGAATTATTTAAGCTTATATGTAAATAAATTGGTACTATCAGATAATTTATTGAAGAGTATCAGAATGAAGGGTAGGAGGTGAGGGGGGAAATTCCAGAAGAGGGTCATAAGGTTTGATGAATCCAGCCCAAGAAAGAACTTTTCCCTTGGGTGATTAGCAGTAAGGAGATTTGTCTTTGGGTGGTAAATACAATGCAATCAATATACAGATGATGTACAGAGAATTGTACACTTGAAACCTGTATAATTTTATTAACCAATGCCACCCCAACGCATTTATTTAAAAAAGGCAGTACATTCCTAGAAATTAAATCTTTTATATATATTTAGAAGTTTAATTCCTTCCTCAAGGAGATATAGTATATAAGGCTTATATTATTTAAAAAGTAGGTGTTTTCTGTTGTTAAATTGCTTATATTTGGGAAGGATGGGAGCAAAGTTGAAATTGGAATCTTACCCTAATACAGATCTATTCATGCTGCTTTCAAATGGTCCCCACATTCTACACATAAATGGAGAGGATTTAGTTTTAGAACTATGCGTTGATTAATCTGTAAGCTCCCTTATCAACATTCAGGAAGAAGTCATGAAAACCTACCCAATATCATGTGTGGTGATAGATGCTGGGCTACCATTGTAA